CAGATTAGCCAGTTCCCTACAAAACAAAGACAAAATTAGTCAAATCAAGCCCAAATTCGATTCCCAAAGTCCACTAGTTCAAACCAAGATATCATAGCCTAGTTCGGCCCAAGAGAAAGACTAGACCAAACCGATTTTAAGCCCATACAAAGACCAGATTGGCCCACAAATCCGAGCCCAACTCTCCCTACTCGACCCGAGACAATGTGGCAACCTTATCAAGAACTGACCCTGACCAGTCAGGACCGACCAAGTGTGGTGGAGGTCTCACAATTGGCCTAAAAACCGACGAGTGACCCATCGACACGTGGCACGCCCTTTTTACTATAAATGAGCTCTTTTCGCTCTTCGTTTTGGGGGGGGGGGACGGAGTTTTGGGGGAAGCAAAAAAAAAAAAAACACTCTTACAACAGAGGAATCCACATTAAAACAGAGGAAGGCCAATTCTTAGGCCTGGAAACTCTAATCAGGTTGGTGCTCTTACTCTCCCACCTTTTTAATAATATATGATCTCATTTTTATCAAGTGCATACTCAATTACCTTATCTCGTCTTAGTCAAATTCATGCTCTATAATTGTATCGTTGTAATCTCAAAATAAGCTCAAAGTAATTCCATTTTGGCTTTAAGTTTCTTTCAATTGTGCATTTATTTGCCTTTCGAATCAATTCCTAGCCTATTTTAAATGTCTTATGCTTTCATTTTCCTTCTTTAGCGTATAGTTGATAGAAACTATGATTGGTGTCGATCTAGATCTAACAAAAACCACCCAAACACAATTAAAGTTCAGATTTCAGAATCCACTTTAGCGAAATCACGAGCAGCGGCAGTGATTTAGTATAAAATTAGTACCCATTTTGGTTAGAGGTCTCCAGAATTAGGAATCCATATAAGGATTCATAGTCATTAGTTCATTAGTAAACTAATACCACAAAAACAACTATATCCCCCAAAAAATCATATCCTGTAAATCATCTAGCTCACTAAAATTAGCATTCATACTAAGAAACCAGATTCGTAGAGAATGAAAGATCTGCAGACTCAGCAAACCTAAATTAGCAAAAACACATCTTATTTCTACCATAAACTCGTATCCATAAACAAACAAAAAAAAACCCTACAATAATATATCATCTTTTCCTAGTTTTAACCTTCCAAGTTAAATAGAGCCTAAAAACTAATAAAAATAACCATTTTTTTTCCAAAAACCCAGATCTGATAGCTGCTCTAGAATCCATAAACCATAAAACTCGTTTCAGTTTAATATCTCGGTTACAGAGGAAACTCATCCAAATTTCTGTCCACTTTCAACCATAGCCGAAACAAACATTGATACCTCTCGATTTGTATGTGTTTTTAGTAAGCTAATCATAGTTTGTCGAAAACAGATCCAGAATATGCACACAACCATATTTTTTAAAAGTACAGATCTGTAAAGTATTTCAAATCCACCATCAATAATTTAGTTTTGAGATTAAAATCCCCTACCATACTAAACCGAGGATCAAGAGAACCTTACCTAGATCTTTTTTTTTACCTACATCAATGCAAGAATAGGAGTCAGAATCAATTGAAGGGGTATTAAATCAAAACTAAAGAAATAAAAAAAAAACCTATCTGTGTCGTCGCCAGCCTATCGGCGCTGGTGCTTCGCCGTCGGAGATCCTCGCCGCCCGACGCCACCGTCTCCTCGACCGAATCCCTCGCACAACAAAACCAGAAAATTAGTAGGATCCCATACAAAAATCAGAATAATAGAAATAGAAGGTCATGCATGTATCCGTTTAACCTGGATCGAAGTTCCCCGGGTCAGATTTATTTTGATTCAAGTATTTAGGTAACCAAACCGGTGACCATGGTTTCCTCCCTCCTTACCCCTCATTAAAAAATAAAAAATAAAAAATGAAACATTAGAAACCCGAGTTTTCTTAAGAAAAATCGAAAGAAAGAACATGCATGCCTAGGATCTTAACTAGATCGAGACCTTCTAGGTTGATTTAACTTGATACGAGCGATTCCCTTGGCCAGCCGAGAAAAGGAGAAGACGGCGGCACAGAGGAGAGAGCTAGTTCGTCGGTTTCCTTTCTCGGATTAGAGAGGGACAACGCGAGAGAGAGGAGAGCAGAGAGGAACGGCGACAGCTAGGGTTCGTTGTTTTTCTTTTCTGGGAACGGGAAGAGAGAAGAGCCGAGAACAGTGAGGGCGGCCCTCCTTAGTCTGAATAGGGTTTTTTTATTTTCTGTGGAGTGGAAGAGAGACGATAGTGAGAGGCGAGAGGGAGGCGAGGCTAAGCTGCGGCCGTTTGGCTCAAATAGGTTAGTGTTTAGGATTTCATCTTAGAGATGAATATATACCTCTACATTTTAATTGACAATTGTGCCCTTAGAGTTTCGCAAATACTACACGCCCCAGCCGGTCCAGGATAGGGTGCATAACCCATGGTTATGCACCCGTCAGTAACCCAACAGGAGCCGTCCATCTGGAGCGGGGAGATCTAATGGCTGGGGTCGGAGCGGGGTGGGGCAGGGGTATTTTTGTCCATTTTTTGAATTTATGTCCTTCGCTCGTTATTCCTTTTTTGTTTATCCTTGGCCGAGCTGGAATTGGATTCATGAGAGAGAATGAGAAGTAAACAGAGCAATCGAGAGTTTTTCTCCGAAGGATCTGTCGATGGCGAGAAGGTTGGTGGAGGACGCGATTCTTAGCTTAATCGGCAGCGGACTTGCGAGTTATAGTTGTTAGAAGGTCTGTGGAGGACGCGATTCTTCTTCTTCTTCTTGCTCGAGGTTTTGGCTCGATTTGTTTGTGTTGAAGTTTCTGCTGGCCGTTGTTTGGTCTCCGTCGAGGTAATTTATAGTGATAGTAGGATTTCACGTTTTCGCATTGATTCCGTTCTGTAATTTGTTTTTGATGTTGTGTATATATGATTATACCATGCAATACCATGTTATACCATATATCTGCGTTTTCTCTTTTGTGCTCTCTGTTTTCTGTTCTTTGTGATCAATGATCTCATTATGTTTGTATAAGTTTGTTCAGTTGATTGATCCGTAGTTGAATTTATGTTTTGTGCAGGAATTTTTTGAATCTTCTTTGTTGACTGAGCTTTTTTAGTGCAATGAGTGATCTCAATCAAGGCGTCATTGTTTCTTTGAATGAATCTAATACTGGATCTAGTTCTTCTAATAGTGTTGTTGAATAGGAAGGTAAGAATTTTTAAATGTGTTTGGTAAGTTGATGTTTGTATATATGTTATACCATACAGTACCATACTGGTATGTTATAGTATTTTTGCATATGAGTGTTGTGTTTTATTTTTTGTAGATTGTTTTTATCGTTGTTGTGATTTTATGTTGTTGTATATATGTTTATATCATGCAATACCATGCAATATCATGTTATACCATATATTACCATGTTATACCATAAAGTACCATACTGGTATTCTATGGTATTTTTGCATATGAGTGTTGTGTTTTATTTGTTGTAGATTGTTTTTATAGTTGTTGTGATTTTATGTTTCTGTATATATGTTATACCATACAATACCATGTTATACCATAAGAAACTATACTGGTATTTGAATAGTTTTGATTGTAATAAACTTTACCATATGATACTATGGTGGTATTATATTTTGTACAGCATTAATGTTTCATTGTTTTTATGTTTTAGGTTTTGATGGTATTGATCCTAATGTTCGAAGTTCCTGGAACAATCTTGAGTTCGCTACAACTGATGATGCATATAGATTTTATGTGGATTATGGGAATTATAAAGGTTTTTGTGTGAGGATTTACCATAAGTCGGCATGTCCGAAGCTTAATAATGGTTCAAATGCGGTTTATTATATCAAGTATTGTTGCAATAAGGAAGGCTGGAGGATTGGTAGTGAGAATAATCCTGCTAATCGTGGTTCTATTGATGTGAAGGCTCGTGTTCGTCATGTTCCAGAAATTAGGGGTGGATGTGATGGTGCCTATATTCGAATTAGGTGGTTTAAGCAGTTCAAGTGTTACAAGATTTATAAGTGGTATGATGTGCATAACCATGACATGATTCCTGTGGCTATGCGTCACTACATGAGATCGAATAGAAAAATGGCTCCTGTGTATAAACTGTTGGCAGATGTGAATGATGCTGCTGGTATAGGTGCGACTGCTTCGTATAATGCAATTAGTACAGCTGGTGGTGGTCGGAAGTGTATTGGTTTCACAAGAAATGATTTGAAGAACCACCTGCGGACAGTGAGGACGTCATCAATGGAGCATGGTGGTGCAACTGCATTACTAAAACACTTTAGAAGACAAGCTAAGTTGGATCCTGGCTTTTTTCATGAGGTAGAGGTTGATGTGAATGAGAATATTGCTAGTATTTGTTGGGCAGATGGGAAGATGCGGATGGATTATCATTTTTTCGGGGATTCAGTTAGTTTTGATACTACATACAGAACGAATAAAGAGTATCGACCACTAGGTATGTGTTCTTATTTTTGTGATTATTCTGTATTATAGTTATTTTTATTTGGTATTATGTTGTTATCTGTTAATACTATGGTGGTATTTTGTGGTATTCATTATGTTGTTATCTGTTAATACTATGGTGGTATTTTGTGGTATTCATTTTTTTAACACTGTGTACCACATGGTATGTGCAGCTCTGTTTGTTGGTTTCAACAACCATCATCAACTCACTGTGTTTGGAGCTGCCCTTCTATATGATGAAACAACGGCAACGTTTGAGTGGTTGTTTAATCAGTTTTTGGAATGCATGGGAGGTGTGAGCCCGTTGTCTATTTTTACTGATCAGGCTGCTGCAATTGCTGATGGTATAAGGTCTGTTTTCCCAAGTTCTTTCCATGGATTGTGTTCATGGCATATCTCACAGAATGCAGTTGTTAATTTGGGATCTTTGTGTGATTCGGATTTCCTTTGTGAGCTTAGCTATTTGATGTACAATGTTGATGATGAGGATGATTTTGAGTATAATTGGAAAAGAATGATAGATAAGTGTTTCCCTGGGAAAGGACCTCTTGGACACAGTTGGTTACAAGGTATTTACAAGGTGAGGGAGAAGTGGTCATCGGCTTGGGTGAATTCTCATTTTGGTGCTGGTATGAAGAGCACCCAGTTAAGCGAGTGTTGCAACAGTAATCTTCGTCATTACTTGCAGTCAGAATTTAGTATTCCTAGGTTCTTTGTACATTTTGATAGGATGCTTGATAATAAGAGAGATGCTGAAGAAGAAGAGGAGTACATAGCACTTTCTACGTTTGCTGATTGTCGCTTTTCAAGCAGTGCTATTGTCAAGCAAGTTGCTGATCTATATACCCCAAAAATATTCCAGCTTTTTCTCGGGCAGTACAAAGAATCTCTTTCATACAATGTTTTCCCTAATACAGAGTTAGCTCAAGAAGGGAATGTAAAGATCTTTGATGTCTTTACATTGTTAGCAGACTTTTCAAGGTTTGACAGCAGACTGCTCATAGTTGATTTTGATAATGGTGAAATTAAGTGTACTTGTCGCAAGTGGGAGTCAAGTGGTTTGTTGTGTAAGCATCAATTGAGGGGATATGATTTGTTGTGGTCTACAACTTGCAATGTGAAGTTTCATCACATCCCTTCTAGTTTGATTTTGAAGCGATGGACAAGGACAGCAAAAACTGGTGGGAATTTTGGATTTGCTGTTTCGTCTACTGAGGCTCCGTCAAAGTATCGGTCTCGTCTGTTCAATATTTCAGCTGTTTCTGCTTCGCTTATCAGTAGGGTTTGTTTGAATGATGATTTGTATAAAACAACCATGGATTTCATGAGTGATTTGATCAAGAAGTGTGAAGCTTTACCAACTGTTGAAACAGCTGGTACGGGTGGATCGACCAACTGTGAGAGTAAGTTCCCTGGCCCCCTTTTGTTTGTGTATATGATTTTTGTTATTTTTTTGTCTGCCAAGTTGTTTTACCATGTTGTACCATGTGGTATAGTGTGGTTTTCTTTATTGTTTCTGGTAATATGTTGGAATACCATATGGTATTATGTGGTATTGATTGTAGTATGTATTTCTTATTTGTAGGTGATGTTCCAGTTCGAAATGTGAAGGGGTTTAAGCCTAAGAAGGATTCATTTAAGCCTTCGAAACGACCTATTACAGAAGATTGGAAGGGCGGCTAGTAGGATTGGAAGAAAAAGACTAGCAGATTGGAAGAGGAGAAATTGAAGGCTGTGGAAGAAAGTTTGAAGTTGAAGTTGTGATAGTTGTTTGAAGGCTGTGGAGTTTTATTAGCTGTTGAAGGATGTTGATTTTTACGTGTTTCTTGCATATTTGTTTTGTTTTGAAGTAGTATTGATCTGCACATGTGAAGGACTTAATGTTTAGTGGATGATTTTAACCTTTGATATAATGTTTTACTATATGGTGTTGTGTGGTGTTTTTAAAAATGTTTATACCATGTATACCATATGGTATACTATGGTAAAACATTCTTTATGACTGTAATCTTAGCTAAGTGTTGTGTTCAGTTTAGCATAAAATACCATGTGGCTTTGTTCTGGTGTATTTAAAAATCCTTATACCATATGGTATACTATGGTAAAAATCTTTATACCATGTTATACCATATGGTATACTATGGTAAAAACATTCTAGATGACTGTAATGTTAGATATGTGATCTGTGCTGTGTTCAGTTTCCATAAAATACCATGTATGTTGTTGTGGTGCATTTAAAAACGTTTATACCATGTTATACCATATGGTATACTATGGTATAAACATTTTGATGACTGTAATCTTAGATCTGTGACACTAATAAGGGGTAAGATAAAGTACTATACTGTTACATAACCATAATAAGAAGTGTTTCAAATGTAAGTTATAACACACCCATAAGAAAAACACTGAATACCTTGTTTGTTCTAAAAAGCACACACATAAAAAAAAACTAGCAAATTTGTTGTCTTCAAAAGCATTGTTTTCAGAAGCTGATGTCTATAGTAGATATTATAGCCATACTGATGCTGTCTCCTTCCCTTACTTGCTTTGATCCTTCATTATCCGATCACGCTCCAGGTTGTCTTTATTAAGGATGATATCCAGCATGATACACTCCCTGTCTTCTTTGATCAGATCCATTCTCTTCCAGTCTGATTGCATAAAAGTCTTGTACTTTCCTTCCCAGTGGCGCATCCATCTGATTATGTACAATCCACATGAGCGTTTATCTGGCTGTGTAATCTTCCCCAGATTGAACCAGTCAAACTTCTCCCAGGGGATTTGTCTGTTCCCACAGTACACAGTCATGTAGTTGATTGCATAATTGACAACTCTTGCTGCCACTGGTCTGTAAGTCGAGTCAAAGTCTTTGTAGCGGAGACTGTCAAGCACATTAAATCTTGTGTTCTTGATGTTGACACAGATCATGATGTAGTGTTCACCATCACAGTAAGGGAAGAACCACTGCATATAAATGAAGTGAGAATGTTAATGGACAATTATAAATATGTCTTGAGGAATAGTTTTTTGATGTCATACCATATGGTATTTTATGGTATTTGTAGTGTTACTTACAAGGTCACAGTTCTGGAAGCTGAGGTCTTTTGCCCATGGTTTGTCAGAAATATATTCTTCCACTTTGTCGAAGTATTGGTCTGCACTTAGTGGAGGATTGTTGTTTTCTATGTCCAGCTTGCAGTCAGACTGTAAATTTGAAATTATGTTAAAGCAATCATATATTCAGGTATGGTAAGTATACTACATTAAAATATGGACAAACTTACTGCCAAATGACTAGAGAAGAACCACTTGGAGATTTTTCCTGTTTTTGCTTGATCTCTGTTCATCAGATCTCCATACCAGTCCACGACATCATTTGTTATCAGTTGATCTATGTCAACAGATTGCAATGATGACCTTTTGAGTAAGCCTGTTCCATCCTCTCTTCTGAACATTACCTCGTCCCTGTTCAGAAGAGTATACCACATTATACCATGTGGTATTGTTCAACATTATACCATATCATACCATATGTCATTAAGAAATTAATTGATATTAAGAAATTTACTTACTCGGAGACAATTTTGTTGTCTTTGCACCTTATGTACTCAAGAATGTCATTGAAAACTTCATCAGGAGTTGTCTGAGGTGGTGTAACCATCATTGCAATTGGGATTGCATCTAGGGCACCATCTTTTGCTTCAACTGGTTGATTTGCTGCTGATGAGTCCATTCCTGGCATTGGTTGTGAAACTGGTGTACTCAGGTCATCAATGTAAGCAGCCAAGCATGCATTTATCTCCAGTAGCCTCTCCTGGCTGTTCGAGTACAAGCTTGACCATTCAATGAATTGTTTATTCTCCAACTGGTTGCTTCTTTTTTCTTGTGGAGGGGTTGATGTTTTTGCTTTCTTCTCTGGTCCATGCACATTCTTCACCACTATCCTTCTTTTGCGTGGTTCTTCTGCTTGTTGTGATGCTGTTGCTGTGGTGATGTTGACATTTTCTGTTTGTGATGGTGGATTGAATGGGCTGAGGTCAAAAGATGGTATGTCCCTGTTTTTGGTGGTGGCTGTCTTTGGTGGTGCATCTGTGGGTTTTCCTGCAGTCTTTGGTGGTGGCTGTATTGCTTCTTCATCATTGTTCTTCTCCTTTTCTCCCTCCTTTGAAACAAGCACATCTGACTGTGTCTTTTCACTGTCATCTGCTTCCTGATCTTGATTCATTTCAGTTGACTTTTCTTCATCTCCTTTTTTGTTGGCCTCCTGGTTTACATTCTCTGGATCTGAATTTCCTTGGTTGTTCTCAGCAGTTTTAGTAGTATCCTTCTCAGCAGTTTCAGCAGGATTCTCTTTTTGATGTTGAGCTTCTGGTTTTGTTGGAGAACCATCTTGATTCTTCCTTTTCTTCCATTGTGTTGGTCCAGCTAGATCCACTGTTGTTTGTTGAGAATCATCATTTCCTTCAGATTCAGTGACTGTGGGTTCTTTCCTTTTGTCTGTTTTGAGCTTGTCAAAAAAATGCTGCAGAGTGTCTTCCAGGTTTGCATCTGCTTCTATATCTTCATCATCAGACTTAGCTCCTTCAGTTTGTTCGATAATCACGTCATCAGATCTTTCTCCTTCCACAGCATCAAAGTTTTGATCAGCTTTTTGCTCCAACATTTCCTTGTGTTTGACAAACTCTTCAATTTGAGCTTTGTATTGCATCTTGATTGATTGCAACATAGCTTTCATTGATGTTTTCACCAGCTTCAGTGCTCTCTCAGCCTGCATTAGTCATTTTTGGTCTGTAAGTTAATATTTACAGTAGAATACCACATATTACCATGGTGGTATTGGATGGTATGTGCATTATACAGTATAATACTATATATTACCACCATGGTTCATGTGTGGTATTTTAGTTGTATGAATTGGACAATTTGTAACATATGGTAATTTATACTTACTTGGGGGATAGTCTTGATCATCTTCAAATCAAATATTAGTGATGCTGATGGTTGTTGGTCTGTGTTGTTGTCATCATCATCACTGTTGATGTCGACAATCTTCTCTTCTTTGTCCTGTATCTTCATGAGCTTATGAAGTTCTTCTCCACCATAGTAGCTCACTATGTTTTCATAGTTCCTTTGCGCAGCAGTGTCATCATAGTAGCTTGCTGTTGGGATTTGGAACTGGGTGGAGAAGGCCATTTCATCCAACTTGTACATGAAGCATACCTTTTATTTGTTTGTGGGAAGGAGAAACAGTTGTATTAGTATTTGATGTACTAGGATTTGTAAAGCTTTTAGGGTATAGTAATTGAAAATGGAATTATTGAGGGTATAGATACTTACTGTTAAGAAATGAAGATCTCCATTGATGTACACGGTGTTTGCAGTCAACCCGTCATTCATATAGTCGAAGAAGAACTTGCACCAATTGTATTCTTTGAAATGGTTGATTTTGTCTGGCTGCAAGTACTCTAGCACATTCAACTCAACAGTAGGGTTTGAATATGGGCACAGTAGACCTCCCGTAACCAGAATCCAGAACAGCTTGATCCATATTCCAATGATATGAGCATTAGAAATGTCATGCTCTACATTAGCTAATTTCACCCTTCCATTTGTAGCTGGAGCTTCTAGTTCTAGTAGGACCTGCAACGCATAGTCTACTGCTTCTTCCACTGATAATTTCTTGAGCGTCACTTCCTTTTTACCCATTGGTAGACCATAAACTCTATGAAAGTCAATTGGTGATATCTTCATGTAGGTTCCACCAGGCAGCTTGAATGCTTTCTTTATCGGATTGTACTTGTTCATTGTGAATAGAGCAAAGTTCGTGTTTATCTTTGTTTGCTGGATGGATGTTAAGCCATCAAGGCCTAATTCCTGCAATTTTGCCCTCTGTTCAGGTGTTAATGTTCTTGAAAGCGCGTTGATTCTTGTTGGGCTGCACCTTGTTCGAAATTTCTCCCTATGTCTCGACATGATGTACCTGCATCCAGAATAGAAGAATTGCTATAACATACCATAGCATACCATATTCTACCAGTAAGCAAAAACACCAACTACCATACCATAGCATACCATACTATACCATATTCTATCAGTAAGCAAATGAATAATTGAGGTAGTGGCTTTGACCAGTACGTGTGTGGTTTCTCCTTAGAATACCATATGGTACCAGTGTGGTATTGTAAGAAAATCAGAGCATAGAATAGGTTTTTATACTTTTCCTATAAAATCTTTTTCATTCTTACTTTGACCACTACTGGAACGGTTTCTCCTTATAATACCATATGGTACCAGTGTTTATACCATGTTATATCATATGGTATACTATGGTATTGTAAAAAAATCAGAGTATGGAATAGGTTTTGTTGTCGTTTATACACGTTTCTATAAAATTTATTTCACTGTAAGTACTTTTACCACTATTGGAACGGTTTCTCCTTATAATAGCATATTGTACCAGTGTTTATACCATGTTATACCATATGGTATCCTATGGTATTGTAAAAAAATCAGAGTATGGAATAGGTTTTGTTGTCGTTTATACACGTTTCTATAAAATGTATTTCACTGTAAGTACTTTTACCACTGCTAGAACTTTTTCCCCTTAGAATACCACATGGTACCAGTGTGGTATTGTGAAAACATCAAGCATAGTAGAGTTT